TGTGTAGTGTAGTGTACTTATGGTTTGTTGCTCGCGTATTTTTTTTTTAGTTGAAAAAGAAAATCCCAGAAGATTTTTAATTCAGTAAAAACAATCATGCAATATCAAATGAGAACATATTGAAAATTAAATTTTAACTTTACTAAAAATAATTAAAGATAAAAACAAAAAAAGGAAATTTTTTTGCATAATTTAACGAAATAAGAAAATAAAATCTTTTCTATATTGAATAATATTTTTTTTTAAAAATTACTTGTAATTTTTCTTTGCAATTAAGTAAATAAGACGTTGATCGTAAGTTTTTATTATTATTAAATAAAAACTAAAAAAAAACTGTTTGAAGAATCGAAAATGTAAAGTTTTAATGTCATTTCAAGTGTGAACATTTTTAGAGGAATTTTTTTTTTTTTCCATTTTTACAACTTTTTTTTTATACTGAAGTTAAAAAAATTAATGTGATTTTACAATCTAGTCAATAAATCTTTAATTTTTCCTTTTTTTTGCAGTGTTCCTTTAGTTTAATAAATTTAAAAATTAGAATAATAGAAAAAAATCCTCCTCAGTTGGAATTAGAATATTTTATTTACTAAAAACAGGTTAGAAAAAAATAAATTAAAAAAAAAGGCAATGAATTTTTAAAGTCAAAACTAGTTTTTGTTAATTTCTTTTTATAGGTTTTAAAAGAAATAAAATTCATTTTTCGTAAATGCGTAATGAAAAATTATATTCTTAAACTATGTTAAGTTCATTAAAGTTATTTTATTTCTAAGCATAAAAAAATATCAATTTTTAGATTGTAGTTTGATCTTTCGTATATTTAAAGATTTTACACGCGCTTTGGGATAGAAAACTGATCTTTAGTTTAAAAACCCATTGTCTATGTTATTTTCGTTATTCTTTTTAAGTAAAAAAAAAAATAGGTATTACTTTTACCGTTGGCGTTAATTAATAATGCAGTAATATTTAAAATTACTAATTTACTTTGTTTGAAATACATCTCTAGGACAAATATTGGATTTTTCAGAGATTTTTTAAAGTTTTCATTTAATGGTCGCTTGACGAGTGACCGTGCCAATATTTAAAAAAAAAAACAAAAAACTTTATTTTGGATACCATCATGGATTTACTAAAAACAAACACACAACTAAAATAAATTTTAAATAATTTATTTTAAACGTTTTTCAATATTTTTTTTTACACTATTGTTCGGACCATTGTCCTCATATTTCTTGTCATATTCACGTTTCGGCCGTTGTACGTTCCTGCCTTCTTCAGATGATATACGTTGGAATTTCGAACCAAGCCTTTTATTTCGTCTACCGGGATAGATTGTTCTAGTTCTACGTGCCATATGACGATAAAGATGAGGACAACAGTTCGAACAACTGCAATAATACCTCATCTCAGAAATATAGACAGATGTCGTCTTTGAATTTAGATTTTGCTTTTATTTGAAAGATAAAAGCCTAAAATCTAACCCATAAAAGACAAATTTACTATACAAAGTTTTTAGAATGAATTTTAAAGAATGAATAATTTTATTTATTTTTTTTTTTGTTTGTTTTTTTTAAATTTGTTACTTTTTATTTCATTACTTTTTCTTGTTTCATAAAATATTCTTTTTAGTTCTTTTTCTAATTATTCTCTAACTTTCCAGCGTTAATGTAACGAGTGAGGTGCTGCTACACAAGGTTAGAATCCCCGGGACCTAATATCTTCATTTATGAAGAGAACACATAGCACGCATTGATCCCGGCCAAAAGCAGTATTTCGATCACAGAAATATACTTGAGAATCATTTGTTTTTTATAATTGTGAAAAATTGATGAAAAGTCGATAATTATTTTGTTTGATAAATTGAATAATGTTTGAAATTACTAATTAATACATTTTGAAAAAGTTCACGATTGATTATAATATTTCTCCTTCATATTTCTTTTATAAAAAAAAAAAAAAAAAATTAGGGCCTAATGACTAAAATTCTAGTTTGAAATGAGAAAACTGATAAAGAAATGCGACATTCAAAAATATCAATTAAATTTAAACGAGTTTTTTTTTTTCAATTTTATCATGTCTTCTACATTCCAACATGTGCACTTGAATATACAATTGCAGGTTTTAGTTTTTTTGTTTTTTTTTTTAGCCTAGCCCAACGCAAGAACCGGATAAGATATTGTTGTGTCAGCTCCCTAAAACTTGGTTTATATTATAAATCAAATACTAGCTATAGAAGAACAAAAAAAAAAAAACAAAAAAAACTTAATAACTTCGGCTTGTAGATAAGAGAAAAATTTTCTATCTTTAGAAAATAAATCATAATTTATATTGAAAAGAAACTATGTTGGCGATAACTAAAAAAAACACTTTAGTTTAATTTAAAAAAAAAAAGTATTTAATTATGGTTTTCAACACTATTATCAAGACAAATACTTTTCTCAAATCTTTGATAATGGTTTTTTTTGTCAATGTAGTTACCCATCTTTAAACATTTTTTTCAAATTTACCAGGTAGTTTTAACTTTTAAGTGCTGTTCAGAGCTAGCTCGGTTTCCATTATTGTTACTTAGTTACTATCCGGTCTAGGGATAATGTCCCCAAATTTACGAACCAACGTTTTATGCGAAAAAACGTATCGAATCTAAATAATGATAGCTTATCCTAGAGACCTAGAGAAATTCAAACTCTTTATGATCCCTTCTTGATGTCCCGGCTATTTCTTATCTTAGTCTGTAATGATTTTATTTTTAAAAAAATATATAAGAAATAAAAATATTTTCTATATCACATTTTTAAAAAAAAGTCTAACTTTTTTACATTTTTTTTATAACTTATTTTTACTTTACATAACTGTTTTTTATTATTTGAAAGGGAATGAAGATAAGTAGTACAATACTTTGTGAAATTTAAACTCAGAAATGGGCAAAAAAAAGCAGTAAAAAATGTATTGTAAAATATTTTTAAACTTTTTTTTTTTTTTTTTTTTAGCCCAAGTCAATTTAAAACAAAAAAGTAAAAGAAACAACGATGACTGTCGGCCCAAACTGATCGATTATTCTTATTTTTGAAAAAGTGTCAGTAGTTAATAAAACAGCTTTTAAAGACTGGCATGTTTCATTTTTATTTATTTTGATTGAATGAAACATAATTGCACCTTTTGGGATGGTGGGGTGGGTGGGGTTTCTTAGTTCAAAAGAAGACCAAAATTGACAACTGGGGAAATGAATTGAGATGGACACAGATTTACAACAACGCCTTCCCTTCTGAAATACTGGATTTTAATTGGGCTTGAATATTGTGGGAAAAGTTAGATTATTTTCTGGTACAAAAAAAATAGTGTCAACTCAAAATTCGAAGTAGGATCGCAAGTTTACTTTTTTTTTTTTTTTTTTTTTTAAACCAATTTTTTTTTTTTTTTTTTTTTGTCACTTCATAAGCGCGTTTAATTTTTTATAAATTATAATTTTATAGTTTAGTAGATTTTTTCTTTTTTACAATGTTTGACTAAAGTGAAAGTAGTAAGAGACTTTGTTTTTTTTTTTTTTTTTTTTTTTTTTTTTTTTTTCATCATCAATTTAACTTTGATAATCCCGGAATTGGACCGGTGGTAAGTATTCTCAATTTCGCTAGTTTTCTTGTAATTGGTCCTCGAACATTGGCTACTCGCATCCGTAGTAGAAAAATAAACAATTCACTGACACGAGACTGACTATTCAACTTTGTTGTGTCACGATCGAGAAAGTTTGTTTACCTGTTTTGTGTTCAACGTTCTCTAGCTCATCCAAGTGAAACCAAACTTTGCAATCAATGCTGATTTTCTCGATAGGACTTTCTGTTCATTCAAAAGGAATGACTTAAAAAATATCTCCTGTTTTTGCTTTGTAATCTAACAATGGTTATCAGGTTTTTTGGGCTTGTGAATAGATAAAAAAAAAAAAAAAAAAAATAATTAGTGGGTTAACGAACCCACTGACCTTTTTTTTTTTTTTTTTTTGTATTTGAAACTATTAAAGGCGGTAAAAGAAAAACAGAACCGGACAACGTGAATAATAGTGAAACTGAAAATCTTGTCGTTATAATAATAAATTATAAGAAGAGTTTCTTTCAGATTATTTAGCTTATTCAGTTTATAATTTATTGAAGCTGTCGTCACTAAAAGTTGTTTTTTTTTTTTTTTTTTTTTTTTTTTTTTTAATTCATGAGTATAAGAATAGATGTACGGACTTTATTATTGTTAATTGATTTTTAAAAAAATCAGATTATAGTACACTATCCGAAAAAAAAATGTTGATAAATCAACAGTGAGATGCTCTAAATAAATACCTGGACACTGCTTTTTTTATATTGACGTAACAACAATAACATTTTTCATTGCTGAGTCCATAAGTAATGTTCACTTTAGTTTCCGGTTTGTTTTTTTGTTTTTGTTTTTTTAACTGATCATCTCTTAGTCGATGATGCGATCACAAGAATAGCGGATTCTGAATATCGGAAAGTATTAATAATTAGATCTTATTTTTTGTTAATTACGTCCATGAAGCTGCTACACAGCTACTAATAGGCAAATTTAATAATTATTGTTTTACTCGTTGCAACAAAAATGTTTTGCGAGAAATTATAAGTTAAAATTTGAAAGATCCATTCGCACGTGTGACTACAAAGTTCAAACCTTTGAAGTTCAAAAGAATTTACGGGTTGGAAGTATTGTGACAAGTTTTCTTTTGTTTTTAAATCAGACTATTATTGATAATAATGTTGTAAATAAGTTTTATTTCAATAAATAAAAACAATGCTGAATGACTGCAAACAAACAAAAAAGATTTCAGAAGTACTGAAGCTTGTTGCTTATTTATTTACTTTTTTTCAACTGAAATTATGAAAATTTGAACAATGTCTATTTTTATTTTTAAGCTTAAGATTAAGAAGGCTATTGCGATTCATTATTTTCGATCGGGTATATAGTCAAGATTGGTTTGTGAAAAAAATTATAAATTCAGAACTTACCTTTTTCTCTTAAACATGAGAATTAATGCTAAAGTTAGAAATAAAAGCATAAACAACGAAATCTGATGGAAAATTTCCATGTTTGACTTTTTCTTCAGGTGATAAATTGATTTTTATGTTAGCCGGCTTTCAGGTAGAATAGAAGGATGCTGTGCCTGTTTTTGTTGTTGAAAAATAAATCTTCTGACTTCCCGTAAAAAAATGTTTGCGGACTGCAAGTTAAACATAAAAAATCGATTAAAAAACGTACAAATCTCCAAAAAAGAAAATAATAATACTTTTCATAACTACGATATTTAAAAAAAAAAAGAAAATAAAATTACCTTTTTTAGTTTAGTTTAGTTTTAGCAACCTGTGTTTGTAAAACTTATGAGGCTTTTGCACTTTGGTAGATAAGCAGAACTTATATGCAAACTGCTGCTACTGCTGCTAAGGCACCTGTATTCGACCTTATGCTTTTAACAGACAAGCAAAATAGGGTGCAATAGTTAGCTGGGCACTTCTGCGTATGCTAATTCTTTTTTGGCTTGTGTAGTTTGATTCTTTCTTACCGGGTATTCTATGTGTGGTCTCGCACCACTTGACTAAATTAAAAAAAAAATCTTACACTGGTATTTACCCCCTGTGCAGTGTGCAAGTTAGTTAAATTTTAACGAACTAGGTAAGTTTCGATTTGTGTTGTAAAGCTAAACACTGCTAAGCTTACTTTAGGCGGCTCGTAGATCATTACAAGTAGGTTCGATCCTTACTAGTTTTTAACCCAACACTTGTTGCTTATTAAGATAGGCTTCCGCTTACCTCTGTAAGGCAAATATGACACGCAATATGGTGGTAGAGGGGGGAAAACTCTGTCTTTCTCGGTATTTCCCTTTGACTTTGATACTTCAACTTCAAGCATCAGGGATTGACCCCCCCCACCTCTCTCTCTCAAATGAGTGGTACCATCTGAAATGATAGCTCCCTGCAAGCTTGCTTTAGTTTAGGATTTTATTTATTTTTATTTTGTTCTAAACAACTATCAATTGTAACTTCATTCACTTATGTTAGGTGCGTGTGCACAGGTATTTGGACTTGATACATTTATTTTTAGTATTGTAAAATGAGATATGGTGTCTTTTTTTTTAACGCTCGAAAAAATATTTTATAAAAATTTTATTTTTATTTTAAAAATGTTAGCATTGTATAAATGTATAATCGTCTAGATTGTTATCGTTTTTTTTTTTTTTTTTTTTTAATACACGTTCTTTTGAGAGAAGTGTATTTTTATGAAGGCTAGACGGTTTGTATTAAAAATTGTTACAATTGTATCTTTTTCAGCTCAGCAGTTAAAAGCCATAAAATTTTTGAAGAATTTCCAGTTTATGCAAAATTACTTTTTCATATATATTGACCAATGAAAGACGTGGTCTCAAGTTCGAGTAACATCCTGAATAGTGGGACAAGTGTGAGCCTTATTTTTAAAATAGAGCTTAGGTCACTAGATACGAGGAGAAAACTTTTGACAGCAAGGGGAGAAGTCAGGTCGTCAACATCGAAGAAGGCACTTGTTACCAGCCATCTGCAGAGACCTAAAGTTCAAGTGAAAATTCTATGGTTGGACAGCCAAGAACAAAAAATTCTAAGAAATTTTCCCAAACTGTGTGAAGTATCTTCCAGCGATACTTGTGAGGCAGGTGAAAGTAGATCCTTACATTTTTTTTTTTTTTCTCAAAGGCTGTTGCACTTTTTTCTTCTTTTTTTTTTTACTGCCTCTTTGTACTGTTTTTTTCTCTTTTGTCATTTTCAAAATCCTTGTCTTTTCCTAAACTAAGTTTTTTTTTTTTTTTTTTTTTTTTTTTTTTTTTTTTTTGCTGGTAATCCTTTTATCCTGCCTTAATAGGAGCACAAAAAGGAAATTTTTTATGCAAATTTGTACCTTTTTTTTTTTTTTTTTTTTTTTTTTTTGTAATTGTAAAATAAATTTTTTTTACAGTGTTTGTCATGTTTTTTGTAATTTTGTACCTGTTATGTTTTACTATTCCTACTTGACTAAGTTTGTTTGTGTTTTTTTTTTTTTTTTTTTTTTTACACAAAAACTTGGATTTGGTAGGTAATAAAAATTTTTATAAATTTGCATTCCGAAATGAATTGCCTCCTTAAGATTTCTTTACCCAGCCTCTTATTCTGATCACACATTTTTCTATAAATAAAAAGTGAAAAATGAACTATATTTCTTTGACCAGTAGGATTCAAAATTCATAAAAATTTAAAAATAAATTAAAAAAAAAATGGTTTGACTTGCTGCCTTTGGATTTAAAATCTTTTATCAGAAATTTAAAAACTTGTATCCAAAAGATATATTATAGATTAAATGAATTATATTAATTCATTTAATCTATAATATAGTAAGTACTTAATCCTTGTGAAAAAATCATTGATATTTGAATTTCTATGTGATTATATTTTTCAATTTTTGAGTACTAATCTCACAAAAATAGGAAAAATATCCTTATTTAAACATTTGGAAATATTTTCTTTCTGAATGTATTTGTTTAGGATGGGAATAATTCTTGGCAAGTACTTTGGTTTCATAGATTCTTTTTGCAGTGTTTCTACTTTATTATTCCAGTGTTTATTAAAATCTTTGTGGAAAATATAAATTCATTTTATATTATGGATTTATAATTTGCATCATATGGATCCATAAGAATCTGATACAAGACTTTATTGAACACAAAAACATATGATCAGAATATGAGACCAGATAAAAAAATTTAAATTTAAGGAGGTTAATTCAGTATTTGAAAGTAAAATTTTTGTACATTAAAAGTGCTACATCCTAAATAAAATTCAAATCTCCTGATGATTCATGACTTTTCATCATGACAGTCAAAATAGGTCATCTGACTTCCACATGCATATTGTGGTGAATTTAACTAAAAGCTAAGCTTTTTTTTTTTTTACCAATTAGAAAGCACCACAGACTGACAGCGTGAATGATTTTGTGATCCTTCTGAAAGTTTTAAATTCTACAAATTTAGGGCTGTTCTGGTTGTCTCCAAATACATATCTACTATGTACAATACTAATAGTTTCTTTTTTTTACCTATGGGCTAGTCAAAGATTATGGTTTTGTCTGGTACTTCATTGAGACCATACAACTACACTTTGGTGGCATATGGACTACTACAAATAAGTTATTTCTTTAAACAGTCACTGAGTGCTTTATTATCACAGAGACTAACATCAACTTTACTTATAAACTTTTTTTCATAAAACTATCTTCTGTATTTCAGTATATATTACATAATTACACCTATTTTGTTAACTTTTCTTATTTTTTGTCATTTCTTTTACCCATTGCTTACTCAACAACTATTACTAATATTGTCTTTATCAAATCAATATTTCTTTCTTTACCATACACGTGTGTGTGTGTGTGTATAATATATATATATACATATATATATATAACAAAAAAGTAATGATACCTAATTAAAGTATAAAAACAGTAATTGTACCTAATCTGTGGGTATTGATTACTAATATTTATTCTCCAGAGTCCAGTAAAGGATGATGGTAATTAAACTAGGTTATGATCAGAGTATTGTACCTGTGTTGATTTATTGGTCCTTGTGAGCTGGAATCAGTAGTAATTTCTTAATAAAGGTAATAATGGCAATAAGAAGAAATTGGAGAAAAATTAAGAAAATGAATAGGGAGGTCAGAAAGAGAAAAATGAGAAGAAAACCTAGTGAAAAATAAATACATATAGAGAGAGTGAAGGGAAAGATGGAGACAAAAGAAAGATCTAGAGAGATTGGCTAATGTCCAGATATTAAGAGACAATGGGAAAAAGACATGTAGGGACAGAAAAGCTTAAAAATTGTGTCACATCAATAAACTTATGAAGAGATAGAAAAAAATCAGATAAGAGAATATGCAATAGAAAATAATTGTATTTTTCTTATCCCTTTTAGTTAGTTAGTTTTACATATATAAAATTAATGTACAAAACATGAATGGGTAATAAAGATTAGAAAGGATAAGGAAGAGAATGAGAAGATACAGACAAAGGATGAGATAATAGAAGGGTGTAAAGATAATTTTAGCTGTAAAATTTATAAATGCATGTGAAATATTCGTGAATTGGTTAGATAAAAATATAGATGACAGCCAAGGATAAGAGAAATAATGAGAAGATACAAGCAAAAAAGTTTAGAGAGTTAAAAATAATAGATAATCATTGTTGCATTATATGGAATTTCCATGAGCTCAACTAATAGGATAAGTCAATGAAAAACTGAGAAGATAAAGGCAAAGTAAGATAGGGGCAAAAAACAATAGTTAAACTTTGATGTCAACATGTTAGGTTCAAAGCTTCTTTTTAAGGGAGAGAACAAGAATATACTAGCAAAGGATGAGAAAAACAGAGGAGGCATGAAAATGCTAATGAATAATCATAGCTGCCAACAACTGAAATAATCTACATTGATTTCACTTCTTTTTTTTTTTTTCCTTTTTCTTTTAAGTTAACTTTGGACAAAAAAATAGGGGGCTCTTCCTCCAGATTCTTCTAGAAAAAAGTGGCAGAGAATTATAAGAGAGGCAACTTTGTTGGTGGGAAAGTGATTGAAGCTAAGATGTCAGATCAGAACCAATACTATTGGTGATTCTTCTTTGGATTTTATCAAGGATCTCCTGGTAAATAGCAGAAGCACTGGTCTATATGTGGTAGCAATATTCTAAGCATAGACTTATAGATATGTAAGATAGTTTCTGGAGCACAACACATTGAACCAGTGTTCTTAGGCAGCTGACCTATGAATGGATGCAATATAGCCTTTTCACTTCATGTCAACAGAGAACATTAGCTCAAGAAGGTGTAATGAGTCACTCTCTTGGAGGTTAGGATCAGCCATGCTGATGGAAGGCAGAAGTGGTTTTTCAAATGATTAATAGCAGTTTATTTTTGGAGGCATTAAGATTAACAGACTGAAGGTTCTTTGGACATCAGCTGCCAATTTGACTATCAAAC